GGGCGCGGTTCGGGGCTGAGCGGCCCCGGGGGCAGCGCTGCAAGGGAGGGGAGGGGGCCCCGTCCCGGCTTGCGGGAAAAACGGTGCTTCTCTGAAGTTACGGCTCTGCCGCCTCGCCGGTGCGGTTGTGGGAGCGGTGGGTTTGGGGGGAAAAGGGGAGCTTTCTGGCCCCCGTTGCTTGGAGAGCGGTAGTGGCCCTGAGATGCCGCTCCTCCGGTACCGGTGGGAGCGCTCGGTGCGGCTGGGCTTGGGGTGGGAGGGAGTATGCTTCCGTTTCTGGACAGAAGGGGGGAAAAAAGTGGTAAAATTCAAATGCGAGCGGATCAAATTAAGGTAGAACCAAAGTAACTTCTGGTGCATCATCGCTTAGGAGACAAAGGGGGGGTGTGTGTGTATATCTATCTCCCGGAAAAATCCACTCCTGGATTATTTCAAGTTACAGTGGGAATATGCTCAGTATGTCAGAGAAGACCAGATAAAATCAGCACTTATGCGTTGGCTGCAGTTATTGATACTGTGCAGCTTATGAAGTCGGTAAAATTTGTTGTGAAAACAAGAACGCTGACTGTAATGGAGTGAAGTTTTACCAAAGATTGTTTTGCCGTATCCCTCGGATCTTTCGAAACCAAAAAAACCGTTCAGCACAGCTTTCAGTTTGGTGTCTGAGAACTAAATCTAAGGAAGACCTTTGGTGTGGCCAAAAAATTCCCCTGTAATGTGACATCTAGTCATGGTCACTCATAAGATATCTTCATCTTTCCCTACTAAGAAGTGTGTCAAAATGACAGTGAGGAAGTAAGCAGCTACTTAAAGAGGGAGGAGGATATAAAACACCTGTTGAGACTTTTTATCAAGTACAATTAATGGCAATCTGTATCAAATACATTTTTTGAAAAGATTTTTTGGTCTTCAATTTATGGCTTTAAAATGTAATGTCCTTTAGATGAGTATGTTTGGATAATTTTAAATCTTGGCTATCCATTAATATAAAGAACTAAAGCACAAAATATATACCCTCAAATATCTATCTTGCAAAGAATATTCCTTGGGGAGCAGAAGAAAGGGAAGGTAATTGCTATGGGCTCCAAAAGGAGCGATCTTTAACCAGAAGACGCCTAGATATCTATCTAAATAAGGGTGTTAGAGTATTCTTGTGCTTGTGTAGTTTCATTAGGACTTGAGTCAGGTTCATGGCAAATCAGTTAATGATTTGCATCATTAATAACAAGCATCAATGCAATATTAATTCCCCCCCTTACCCTCCAAAAAGCTCAAATGTGTTACCATGCAAAGGAAGAGTGTCAGATTGGATTACAGCTGAGTTACTGATACAGAATAAAATGAAAGTGAAGGTGCAGCTGTTGGAGGAGAGGAATTGTTTTTGCATTACCATTATCACTTGTTGTCTTGCACTAAAATGGTTGCTGCATTAACACAGACCTGTTTTCAGTCCATTTTTTAATCAAAAGCCAAAGATTAATGGTGGTTTAGGGTTAAAGATGTAAGTGGTGTGTGTTTGGCATTGTAGGCATCTGAATTTCTCTTCTGCAGCTTTTTCAAATTCCTAAATTAGAGGTCACTTCTAGAACTTGATGTAAGAACACACTGCATTTTGTTGTATTTTATTCATTGGTCTCTTAAACATATTAGTCTATAAATATTGACAGCTGATCCTAAACACAATGTTAGTTGAACTAGCAAAATACAAAATAAGAACATGTCTTCAAGGCATGTAGTTTGTCCTAGCTGTATACCTTATAATATTGCATGCAACTATGCCAAATCGCATGAGCTGATCTTGTCTTAAGTCAATGATCCTGAATGTGGAATCAAGCCAACATGCTGCATTTAAACTGTATATATAAAACAGCCCAACAGTTTTTGCCTTCAAAGACTGTCATCTAACTCTATTTGTAATGGAGACTTCTTTGCATCCAGCTTCTTCTACAGCAGTATTGTCTGAATAGGATTTGGCTCACACCAATGGTGATCTCCGCACTTGAGAAAACAGCCAATAATCTATATGTAACTGTGGAGTTATTAGCTTTTTCTTCTCTGCTTGGAGTACCCTTGCTCAGTGCCTGTTCCTGGCTTTTGTGATCCTGATCTGACACTCACTGAAGTAAGCTGTGAAGCCTGCAAGCTGCTCAGCAGAACCTGGATTGGGCCCTGTCACCCACTTTCAGCAAAGAATTTGATGTCTGGGCTCAAGCTGATGGAGATCAGTGGCTTTACTGGATCAGAAACAGTGTGATGGGCTCACACTGCTGCCTAGGCTCATCATATAGTGACAGCTTGTTAGAGGTGGGGACCCAGTCAGAAATCCAGACACTTCCATTAGCATCAGTGGGCTTGGAGCAAGACCTCTTCCATGGGATACCACCTCGGCACCCCAAAGAGCTCACATCCAGTACCTGCTTGAAACGTTTCTTAGAGCAGCACAAAACATGTGCCTTGTTGTAAAATACTCAATTTAAAATGAAACTAATTTCATTATTTTGTTAGGCAGATTACCTTCTTGATCTGAAAGGTAAATGGGAACATTTTGATAGCAGATAGGTAAAATCTGTTTTTTATTTTTAAACTTATCTATTATAGATAGAAATACTTAGCTGTTCAGCATTATCCATTTTAAAGAAGTTAAAGCTGGAGAGACTGTAGAAGGCAATCAATGGAACTGCTGCGTTTTGATTGCATTTTCATTTTTGCTCTTTCCATTCCCCAAAATGTCACCAGATAGTCATATCTTTAAAAGCTGTGTCAGATCAAAAAATAATTCCAAATAGCAATAATGTGCCTTCATTGTTCCTCTCCTCTTTCTCACTGGTTCCTTCAGAAACCTCACCTTTTGTGTTTCTTTTTGCAAGATTTGAAGATGTATGAGACACAGCCTCTGCTTTTAAGCCTTGTATTTCTTCTTTACTTTGCATTTTCCTCATTCTTAATTGGTCTGATATTATCTCTATTTATGGCCTGGCTACATGTAGCTAAGAATATGGTATGTGATACCCCCCAATTTCAACGTAGTCAGGAGTGTGATCACTAGTAAGGCACAAAACTGCGTGGTCCTACAGTGTTGATTGTCTGAAAATTTTTTTAGTGTGTGATTTGGGTGATTATGATAGGGGTTTGGCCTGTGAACTGGGGGACCTGACAGATGGAATAGCTTTGCTGGGGTTGATCAGAGTGGGACTGTCTCTATAGTCAACAGATTCTGGTCAGTGTAACATTTTAACTCCTTTCTCTCTAACAGCAGTGCTTTACAGTTATGTAGTGAGAGAAAGGCAATGATTTTTCAGTTCTGATTGGCTAAATCCTGATCCATCTTTTCCTACCTATATCCAGTGGGTTTTGGATTCTTCCCTTTACCAATGTTCATTGAATTTGCTAACAAGTATTTTGTTCAACTTACTATTTCTGCTAATGTCTTTTAGCTCCCCCCCTCCGAAATACTAATGCTAATTATAAACTATGCTTTGAAAACATTTTCTGCATCCTAGAGAATGACTAAAGATGTCTGTAAAATGATTCTAACTGAAAAAATGAAATCTCAGTATTTCATCCTCAGCTCTCACAGATTCTATGTGTGCTTAACTTTATGCCTGTTATTATGTAATGATTTAATTGGCAACTTTCCTTTTAAGGTTGATCAGTCAAAAAAAATTCTTTTGTTTGTTTGCATTTAGTTAAATAAGTCAAATTACATGATGATTGAAGATAATAAAGAGAATGAACACCATGCATCTGAAAGAGGAAGAACAGCCATCATTTTTTCCTTGAAGAATGAAGTTGGAGGACTTGTAAAAGCATTAAAACTCTTTCAGGTATGTAATAATCGCATTGCTATAGTAGCTTTGTATTTTTAAATTATAAGGATAGTTTTGGAACACACTAGAATTAATTGCATGCATTTATTAAAGATGTGATTCCTAGCCTGGCTCCCGCTTTGCACCCAAAATTACCCATGAAGGCAAATTTATGCCTCAGAAATTAGATGCTAGCTGGCTAAAAATCCTCACAAAACGTATCATCTGCACTGACTAAAGACTGAGGGAGTTTTGTCTTTTCCCCTCATGAAAAGAAGATTGGCACTCATTGTTTCTACTGCAGGTAAGAGGTGGTTCTGAAGCTCTTGCCGATGGTAGGTAGACACTTGGGGTGCTGACCCACGCTGGGTTGAGTCTGGTGCCCTTGTCACCCTGCGTAGCCAGACTGAGAGTGACAGAGGAACTGCAATTGTATAGCTGCACTCCTTCGATTGCTGGGCAGGTATTGCGCAAGCAATTTGTGCAGTGCTGCTGTGCTCTGTCATCTCGCCCTGCATGTCTTAGCCTGGGGCTTTCTCTATGTTCCTGATACAAGACATATGATTAAATAATTCTTAAAAAAAGAGTGAAATTTACACCCTGAAAACTACTGCTTTTAAATCCCTTGCTTGCTTGTGTGATAATTATACAGTGACTTGACTGGCATTTTGGTGAATTTCCTCAGACCCAGTTGCTAATCAGCTTCCTATGGGAGGGATGAAAGAAAAAGGCCTATGAATTTAAACCTCCTGACTGTGCCTTTCTGTGCTTCCTGAATGCAAATGAAATTGAAAGAACACAGGTTGTCTTTCATTGTCTTCTGAATGGGAGGCTTTTTAAAATCAAATCATTGTCCACCCCCTCCCCCCCCCCCAAACTGCTGTGAAGAGATCCAATTAACTAAAATAGCTTTGCAAAGGTGATGAATAGTCCATGGCAGTAGAACATTCGTTTGAAAAACAAATTTTAGTTTTTAGTCAACTGGTTTTAGTCAATCTATTTGAAAACATTACTTCTTACAAAACAGGAGAAGCATGTAAATCTGGTACACATTGAGTCACGGAAGTCCAGGAGACGAAATTCTGAGTTTGAGATCTTTGTGGACTGTGACAGTAACAGGGAACAACTGAATGAGATATTTCAGGTCCTGAAATCCCACGTCAATGTTGTCTCTATGAGTCTGACAGAGCATTTCAATGTCCAAGAAGATGGTAAGTACAAAAGGCATTTCTGATAAAAATGCACTTCTCAATGTGTTGGTTTGAAATCTTTTTATGGTGTCCACATCTGCATTTGTGTAGTGTTTTCAATCAGTAGCTACCAGGTTTTTGCTTCTGTGTTGTGAATGAGTGCAGTTTGGTTGATATGAACAGGGCTGCGTTGGCTGGTGTCACCTAGGAATACAGGCTGTTTCACGCTGGTGCAAATTGCATGTCTGTTATCTGTGCTGGCATCAATGGGAGTCCCTGCACCCACGCAGGCCAAAGCAGGCTGGCATGTAGGCACAGTCTGAATGCAGGGCTTGGCTAGGGACTGTACACCATGATGACAGAGGTATAATACTAACAGATCCCAGTTCAGTTCAGACACTGGTGAAAGTGAGAGATGGATTCTGCAATTTCCTCATGTAGCTCTTGAGTTAATTTTTTTTTTTTTAACCACTTTTCATCATAACCTGTTACTTATATTAGTGTGAAAGAGTGCCTTTTAACTTTAGGATGCTTAACATCCTGTTTACCTTTGCTTCTATTTAAAGAGATGCCTAAAGTTCAGGGCAGCAGGAAGTCGGTCCCATGTATTTCTCGGCTACTGTGCTTGGCTAGGGGTAGCTAGGGGAAGGTGAGATCTGGTGTTCTCGGATAAAAATGTCTTACTTTAGCCCTAAGTAAGGGCAATTTCAATCTAAACACTCCCCCTGTCCTTCTTAAGAAAATTGAAGAGCATCAGGGCAGAAAACCAATGTATTAACTGCTCTGCCAAAAGCTTGGTTAAAAACTCTCAGAGGCTAAAAAAAAAAAAGTATTCAGTAGCAAAACTGTAATGAAGTGTCTCTCTAAGGCTGCAGGGCATCCTCTTCCTCTTCTCCCACAAACCCCTCAGCAGAGCTGGATGCTTCTGAAGTACATAACCACAGAGCAATGTTTATTTCCCATGGTCAGTAAAGCAGGATGGGAGGACTCAAACCTGTTCCCACTCTGCCCAGGGACCACAGGCAAATCACTTTGCAAACCTACTCCTTTGCACACTTCGCACTGTAGAAGATTCACAGCAGTGTGCACAAGGAGGCCTTGTCTCAGTGACAGCCTCTAGATGCTATTCTAACAGTAATAACAGTTAAGGGCCACAGAAAACTCATATTAACTGTTTCCTCCCCTGGACGCTTTGAAGCTGGCTGTACTCTGTAGGCAGGCTGTGGCAGTGACAGAGGAGGAAGTGTGAGCTGTAGGCTGGTGCCCGATAGGCAGTGGACTCCCTTGTCTTATTCATGCCGTTTTAATTTATAGATTTCGCTTGTAACCGCTATAGCCATACTTGAAAGTAGCGTTTCCTCCCTCAGCATGCTCGGCGTTATTAATAACTTTGTGGATTCCATGCATTCCCTAGACATGGACAATGTTCCCTGGTTTCCAAAGAAGATCTCAGATTTGGATAAGTGTGCAAACCGAGTGCTGATGTACGGGTCCGATTTGGATGCTGACCATCCAGTAAGTATTTTTTCCTCCCTACACCCAATCCTTAGTGAAAACATACTCTGTGGAGTTTACTTTAAAAAAATTGCAGCTTCTCCTCCTCCCTCTCCTTCCCCTCAACAGTGCCTCTGTGGGTCTGAGCACCTTCTCTTGGGTGTTTCATGTCTTTTTCCTAGTTCAGGCAAGGCCACCACTGAATTCAGCTCCTGTGCCTTTCTGCAAGGCTTACTTGTGTGAGGACTCCTGGTCTGGGCCCTGAGTGGTCGCATGCAAACTGAAAAAACAAACAAAAAACCCAACCAAACAAAAAAACTGTTGTGAGGCAGGCTTCATTTCTCTTCTTTTTTTCTTCATTACTATAATTGGACCAGACAAATGGTACTTGGGCAGTGCAAATTGGCAATTTGTTCTGTAATTTGGAATAATCAAGCAAGTAACAAAGTTTGTATAAATACTGATATGACTAAACTGAATCCTTGTCTACTGACTATATAGTTGACTGACTATATAGTTGCACGCATAAACCCGCTGATTCTTACTTTGAATTGGAGTATTTGCTTAGTTCACAGTTACTAAACATTTCAGACTACAGCTATGATGTTCCTGCCCTGCCCTCTCATTCTTACACAGCATTTAAAATCCATTTTAAATTATTTACTGCAGCCTGGAAACTCATTTAACTTTGTTTTTCTCCTTCCCCCTGCCAGGGTTTCAAAGATAATGTCTATCGCAAGAGACGAAAGTATTTTGCAGACCTGGCTATGAACTACAAACAGTAAGCTTGGCTTCTTCCAGAATATGCCTTCTGGGTGCCTTGAAATAATAGTGGAGTGGACTGGCAGGGGCTCACCTTCCCTGGGCTCAGATCTCGCTGAGACATGCTCGGCTTGAGAATTGGAGCTGGAGGGGTAAAAAGAAAGGGAGATGTAAGACAGGATTAAACTGTAGATCTAGGCCATCTTAGAGCTTCCTGGGCCTCTGATCAGTCTGGGGCCGTGGTTGCTTGGTCATTATGGCATCTGTGGCAGTGCTGATCCTCAGATGGGCAGCAACACCAGCACGGGCTTCCTGCAGCATGGTGCATTTGGACTCTGCGGTCCCTCCCTGATTCTCTGGAAATGGGTGCAATAAAGGAAGAGGGTGGACAACAACGCATGTTGCACAGCTGCCTGTGCCAGGGCATACTGGCTTGACTAGGGCAAACTGGTGTTCTTTGCGAAGGAGAGGGAGGGGAGGCAAAACCCCATATATAGCCCATTGACCACTGACTGTAAACTCTTTGGGCAAATGTTAATACTTGAATTTTCTTTCCTGGCTCAAACTAGTGCATGTGATGTGTAGATAAGAAGTTTTCTGTGGAAATAAACTTGAAGAGCTTCTGTCTTTAGAGATGTTGCTTTGGGGAGGGAGCTCTTAAAGCAGTAAGAGTTTCATAGCCCAGTGCCGTAAATTCTTTCTAAACATGATTTTCATGTTGCTGTTGCCTGCTTGAATATAGATGCCAAGTTCCTCAGCTGGAAATGACCTAGAAATGGTGGGTATCTAGAGCTCTGTTGCACTGGGTATTAATGCAACTGGTTACCGCAGCACAGAGCCAGTTATTGTTAATGTGTGGCTAGCAGAGATTACTTTGGGAAGGCATCTGCCGTGCTGGTTACCTGGCTGGCAGTGGAAGCTCAGTGTAACACTCCCATTGCTTTAGGTCACACCCTTGCTATAATCCACTTTAATCAAGACCCTGAGGGCTAAATAAGAAAGATGGACTACAATTAATATGTTCAGACAGACACTTGTCTCCTCTGCATGGAAGTATGATTTTTACCTAATGTGTACATTTAGCTTTTTCCACACAATGTGGTGTTAATTTAAGGAATTCTTTTTTTCTAAAACAAATCAACAAGGTAATGGAAAGTAATTGCAGACAGGGAAGTCCAACAGGGAAAAGGATGTGTTTTCAGCTCCTGAAGGTGCAAAGGTTATGCAGGTATTTTAAATGTTACTCTCAGCATTAGACACCTAAGAAACCCTTTGCAGAATGGAAGATTTCAGGCTCCAGTGAGGACAATGCAAAGATCCCTGTCAGTTGATTTAGGTGGAAAAGAGAGCAAGCCCTTAGACTAAAAGATTTCCAGGGTATAGACCAGATCTCACTCTGCATTTGACAGTGCCTAATGCACCCTGACCAGGTGTTACAGCTGTATAGATTTTAAATAATAATAGTAGGTAAATGAGTCATCCGTTATTAGCCATTTACCAAGGAATGTCCTTTCTTCCTCTTCTCCTTGTAGTGGTGACCCAATTCCCAAGATTGAATTCACAGAGGAGGAGATCAAGACTTGGGGGACTGTGTACCGAGAGCTTAACAAGCTTTACCCAACTCATGCCTGCAGAGAGTACCTTAAAAACTTACCCTTGCTTACCAAATACTGTGGGTACAGGGAGGACAATATCCCTCAGCTGGAAGATGTGTCCCGCTTCCTGAAAGGTAACGTGCTAGTTTTCTTACACGAAAAGGAACTAAGGTCCATTGCAAATCACGCTGCTATTTTGTAGGCACAAGAAAGCAACCTTGGTCATTTTTTGCTTGTATTCATTCTGGTCCTTTAAGAGGCTTTATACAAAGAGTGACATTTGAGGGGCAATGCTACTTCTGAAGAGACTGTTAGGATTGGCTAAAGGCATACCTAGTCGTATTGTGTTGGCTGTAGGCATGAAATTGTAGGAAATCCACTGACACAGAGGTAGGGACATTTCTGCTAAATGTTGGTTATTCTCAAGCTTAGGCCTAATTTTTTGAATTGTGCCTAATTTTCCTACGTGCTCTTGAGCCAAGGCTTTTACCCTAGTTGTAGCAGGAAAGGTAACAACATTGTGCAGTTCTATGCTAAACTAATGTACAATTTCTCTGTTCCTTTTCAGAGCGCACGGGTTTCACCATTCGCCCCGTTGCTGGATATCTGTCACCCAGAGACTTCTTGGCAGGATTAGCATTCAGAGTTTTTCACTGCACTCAATATGTTAGACACAGCTCGGACCCTCTCTATACACCAGAGCCGTGAGTCATTTAATCTTGGGGTAGAATTTGAGAGCGAGTGAGTTTTGAATCTCACTGCCCAGAGCCAAGCTACTGATAAGCTGTTCAAGAACACCAGCAAGAGAACTTATTTTTAAGGTGCTGAAGACTCAGTCTTCACGCTGAATGTAATGAAGTTTTAGCATGCTCAAGTACCACCTTCATAAGTACAGGATTTTCAAAAGTACAGCATGTTATTGGAGAGCTCTCACTGATGTCATTGTGTGCAGAGTTAGTTTAATATTCAATTGCCTCACAAATGTGGAGCTTGGATCTTAATTTTAGACAGCTTCATTTGAAAATCTGAGCTTATGTATTTATGTAGAGTTAGTATGATGTGCTCAGTTGGTTTCAGCCAGACACGATTGACACTTTTCTGTCTTTTGGATATTAAATAGTTTAACACAAGACTTTGTATCTGTTCAGTGGTGCTACTTTTTCACTCTACCACAAAGACAGATCATGAGATTTCTTTGTTTTCTTTTTCCAGTGATACCTGCCACGAGCTCCTAGGCCATGTCCCGCTTTTGGCTGAACCCAGTTTTGCTCAGTTCTCTCAGGAAATTGGTCTTGCATCACTTGGGGCATCAGATGAGGCTGTCCAAAAACTGGCAACAGTGAGTGTTTGAGTCCCTGGTGATCCCATTGAAAGCTTACTAGGCTGATCCCACTCCATTGAATAAATTTGGAAAATCATGTCAAAATTAGCCACGCCAGCTGCTAGACCTATGTGTTTCACTGGTCCTTGGCTTTTAGAGCATATAACAATTTTCCATGCTAGGAAAAAAGATATATTTTAGGGTTGATATGGTTGGTATTTTTTTTCACTTGGCTGTCAAGTAAGGGTGCAACTTCTGGTGGTAGATCTCTTCTTCCAGATGGAAATTCTATGGTCTGTTTCTTCCAGACAAAATCTTCTTACTTCTGGGAACATGATTCAATGATTTTAAGAGTAATCCATTTCTTTAATGTGTAGAATGAATTGAAATGATACGGTGTTTTCACTGAGTGTGGTGAGCACTAGCATTTAGATACTTTTCAGCCAAGAAATTCACATAATATAAATTAATCTTATTTCCTGGATATCAGTTTCTGGATGCTTTGGCAAAAATATTTGAAGATTAAAATTAAATTTAGATGAAAAATAATTGATGCCAGTTATGAAATAACTGGTTTGCTGATTTAATTTTTTTTTTCCTGCACCTGGTGTAGCTAGTGGTAAATTTTCTACTACCTTCAGTGGGAGCAGAACTAAGCCATCTGTGAAAATAGCATTCTTCCCCTATACCTGCAGAAATCCTGAAATCCAGCAAACTAAACATCTTTAATTTTACAAGCCACTAAGCAAATGAGAAACAAACTGGAAACAAAGTGGGCTGATGTTTTCACTCACTCACAGAGCTCCTCCCTATCCAGTTTCTTTTAAGCTGAAGCTGTCCTGTTGTGACAATATTTCTCAAAACAGATTTACCTCTCAATGTTCCTACTGACATTAACAGCTTCTAGCCTAGCTGGGTAATCTATAATATCAATCTTTCTTATGAGAAACATGCCATCCTGTGGTTTTTCACCCTTCCTTTCTGGCTTCCATCCTCTTTAAATATCTGAGAAGGATAACCAAGAGATGACTGTCTGATATTTGCAACTGTTTGACACTACTACAAACAGAAATGCCCCCATTTAGTTCACTACAGCATCTTTGCTGAATGCTGAATTATTTTACGCCCTTCTCTGTTTCAGTGTTACTTCTTCACTGTAGAGTTTGGCTTGTGCAAGCAAGAGGGACAGCTACGAGTTTATGGGGCTGGCTTGCTCTCTTCGATTAGTGAGCTCAAGGTAAGATGTCTACTGCTTATTTGTATCTTTTCTTTGTTTGTATGTGATTATTGTCACTGTTCTGCCCTGTTTTTTAAGAAGTATAATTTCTTTTGAAAACTCCTAGATACCTACTAGACTTCAAGCAAATTCACTGTGGGAATAATTACTGGACAGTCTGCTTTTGGATATATGCTGAGCAGCTCCCATGTCTTTCACAGGAAGCATTAGATGACTGGTATTTCTTAACATTAGGTTCCAAGTAACTATTTTCAGAATAAAGCTCTGCTGGTTTAACCAGATTCTGAAAATATTGCTCTTGTTTACACATGAGCCTTGCGTCTGAGGAATCTCTTTTTTGACCCAAATTGGCAGAATATGACTGTTCAGTTATTCTGTTTGTTAAGCTTTAACCACTGTTCATCTGCAGATAAAAATTTTAAGAAGCAATGCACTAAATATGGCCTCACTTAATCTTTTTTTATTCACTCTACCTCATGCCATCTTCCTCATGGATTCTTTGGGTGGTGATGTTCTTCTGACGCATGATAACACATTATGTTACCAGCACTCACTCTCTGGCAGTGCCAAAGTCAAGCCTTTTGATCCAAAGGTCACCTGCAAGCAAGAATGCCTCATTACAACTTTCCAGGAGGTTTACTTTGTTTCTGAAAGTTTTGAAGAAGCAAAGGAAAAGATGAGGTACAGATTTTTGTCCCTGTTTTATAAAAGCAGGTTTGATTTCATGCATCTCTCAGTAGCAGCACCAAACCCTTTCATTCTTATCACAGTTTTATAATTAACTTTCATGGGGTTAGAAAACTGAGATTAGTATTTGCTTGGTCTTCCATGCACTGGGTGGGAAAGGTGATAAACTATATAACAATTACAACCATTTTAAAGAAAGTAATTTGGCAAAATGGTTATTGATACTGACTGCATACAGAGGATGCATTTGTGTTTTGTTTATAACTAACTCTCTTTTTTACTTGAATAGAGAGTTTGCAAAAACCATCAAGCGCCCATTTGGTGTGAAGTACAATCCATATACTCAAAGTGTGCAGATCCTGAAAGACACGAAGAGCATTGCCAGTGTGGTGAATGAGCTACGTCATGAGCTGGACATTGTCAGCGATGCCCTCAGCAAGATGGGGAAGCAGCTGGAATTTTAACATCCCTGTCAGCAGTGTGGTGCACTTGGCCAGTCTTTTCTTTTCCCTACTGATTTCTTTCTAGGCATGTAATGTGTTGTATGCAGAACTCTCTCCTTTACAAATGGAAGAGTGAATGGCCCATAAGGATAATAACTTTATCTTGTTTCTCTGTGTGAAGTCCCCTGCAGAATGTATTCCTCCATCCCCCTTGGATAAAAAAGGCCTGGAGTTGCCTTTGAGAAGCTGGTGGGGCAATAGAGAAATTGCTAGACTGTGGATCAGGGCTGGGATCAGATGCTGCAGAAGGTGGCTTATGAGGCAATAATGGAATAATTCACCACAGGGAAATGTCTGTTTCTGACTCTAGTAGTCTATGCTACTGATTTTATAGCATTGCACACTTCATAGTGTAGAAGCTATAGTAATCAGTGCTTCTAAGTCTGTGCTACCAAGTTTAAAAATTGAATGATTACAACATAGGCATCAGGACATAAATAGCTGGAGGTTCACCATGATGAAATTGAGGGGTCAAATCTTGCTTTTAGAGGGATCATTCTTGCCCCAAAGAATTGCAAATGTGCTGTTTGACATGCTTTTAGTATAATGCAGAGATGTTGCATGAAATCCTAATTCTGTTTATTTTAAGAGATTTGCTGTCAGCTCAGAGGCAGGGTTTTTGTTGCTGTCCTTGATATTGCACCTGAGGGAAGACCTTTCCTTACAGAAATACCATTTGCCTTTTTCCTGATTGAATTAATTTAGCAAAAAATATAGCAAGCCATCAGGTACTGACTTAGCACAAAGCCTAAAACCATTTCCAAATTACAATTTAATATTCAAAAGAGTTTCATTGGTTCTAAAATAGCACAAAAGTTTAAAATAACAGCCAAAGTTCATAGTCTAGTCCGCTTTTTGTAAGAATAAGTATTCTATTGATTGCTCGGTCACTTTACTGACCTGCATAAGCTGCACAAAGATAGATTTCGTTTCTTCTTTTCTAGGCCTGAACACCTTCATTCCCTATCAAGCAAATGATAACTGAAGGCCCAAGCATTTCATAGGAATTCTGTGGCTATGAATGCAACAAACTACCTTGTAGTGTAAAGTATATCTAATTCCAAGGAGCACTTTACAAATGTTTGGAAGCAGTGTCCTGCTGAACTGTCTGTATTGCATAGTAGCAAACTGCACCGTTTTCAGGGCTTCATAGTTTCAAGCATCCTGCATAGCTGTACAAAGCTGTGCTGGCTGCTTTTTCTGCCAACCCTGCTAATGAAATGAGTATGTGTACAGAATATAATACATTTGAATGGAAGATCTGTGATGTGCAGAGTGTATTTAATAGCACCCTAGGCACTGATTCTTCATAGGCAGAGCTTGTTAAGAAATCCAGAATTTGCAGCTGTGAAGGTTGCTGGAAAAATGGTCTGAAATCTTAAATACACTGGAGATGCTAGTCCAGGATTTTGAGAACTTGAAAGGACTTCCATGAACCTCTCTGCCTGAAAATCAGTTTGAATTTCATATACTTTCTAGCAGGCCACATCTGTTCCATAAGCAATCACTGGCCTAACCTTTCCTAGTATGTTCACTGTTTAAATCAAGTCTAGATAATTTTTTCTATGACTATAACCCACTATAACTTTTTTTTCTTAAAGAACATTTAAGACCTAGAAATATGTTCTACAACATTTATGGCTTACATTACACTTTATAATAGATTTTAGGAGCTTGGTCCTTCTAAATAAGAAACCTTCTTATGAGTGAGTAGTAAGGGAGGATCTATTTTGTAGTATTCTGTGGTAACAGTTAATATTCAGCTGCATTTTTAAAAATGTTGGTGTTGTGTTGTTGAAATATAGATAGATGTGTTAATTCAACTCTTTGTTTGAACTATGTATACATTCCAAGTAGGAAACTTTATACTTGATAAATCAGCACCTAATTTTGAATATTTTGGAAAAACAGCAATTGTATTTTTATTTGCACTTGTGTAGCAAAAAATTAAGTAAACTGCTAAAAGTAATACAGAGCAGATGCATTTCCATGGCATTAGCAACACATATGTTTGGCTTCACACATCCAAACCTTCTGGCTATGTAGAACAGTAATAATTTAAATATTTTAAACTATCGTGGAGGCTTTAAATGTCAATAAAAAATGACTTGTTGGTAATTATTAGAAGCAAAAACCCCTTTACTTCAGCACTGTAGCAATAAACACGAAGTACTCACTTCTGACCAAGGGTTTGTATGTTTTGTGCTGTGGTTCAGGTATTCCACGTGTGTGATTTAATTCCATTCAGAACCGCATATATTTACCTGAGGAGTGACTTGTTTTCCCCTCATTTTTTAAAGGCTTCGTCTTTTTTCCCTGTGGGAACGGGTGAGTGTCGAGGAGGCGTTCCACAGGCCCTGACCCCGGCGGGTGCGCCTCCCGCCATCCGTGGGGCTCTGTCAGCGCCGGCAGGACCGGGCGCTTGGGCTTTTGGGGAGTTTTTCGTGAAAGCGGCAGCCAGAGCTGGAGCTTGCCGGTGGAGTACAGGTAACTGGGGGCCGGGGGAGGCCATTAGGACCGGCAGCTCTTCGCCACAGCGGCCCCCCCAGACGCTCCCGAGGGCTTTCAGCGGGTCAACCGGGGCTCCGCGCCCTTCCCGCCCCTGACAGGACGGACCTCCTCAGCGAAGGCCGACGTTCGCCCAAGGGCCGCCCTAGGCTCATAGCCGCGCTCCCCACAGACCCCCCCCCGGGGCGCGGCGTCTCGGGGTGAGGCGGGGCCCCGCCGCAGCCCGGCCCCGCCCCGCCTCTTCCTCCCCGGCCTGCGGCGCGGCGGGAAGGGCTAGGGGCCGCTGTGCCATGGAGCCCGTGCTCTTCGCGTGGGTGAGTGGGCACGGCGCGGTGAGGGAGACCGGGGGGAGCTGGGGCCTCCTTCTGCTCCGCCGCCGCGAGATGGCGGCGCGGCCCCCTCAGGGGGCGACGGGCGGGACGCGGAGCCCGGCTGCTCGGGGGGGCCGGGGCCGCGTGCGCTGCCGGCGGCCCTCGCCTCGCTTCCCTGGGGAAGGGCGGGCCAGGGTTCCCCCCCCTCCCCGAAAAAATAAAAATGCTGTGGTAAAGTTGTGGTGAGTCGCCCTCGTCGCAGTTCATCGGCTCTTTGCCGCTTCGCGCGGAAGCCGGGAAGCTGACGGCTCGTAGCCCCGCGGCTTCCTCCCGCCCAGGGGGGTCCCGCCGGGGCTGAGCGGTGCCTTGGCCTGGGCCCCACGGGGCCGGGGCGTTGCTCACCTGCTGCCGCCACCCAGGCGTGGGGGGCGGGTGGAAGCGCGTTTCGCTTTGAGTGCGTAGCCTGGGGTGAAATCCTGAGCTCCTCCGAAGAAATAAGACTTTTTTTTTTTTGTGGTTCATCAGAACCGTGATTTTACCTGATGAGCAAAGAAGGTCCAAGAGCCACTAAGTGGGTATTTCTTTTCCTTGTTAGCTCGTTTTGCTCTGCGGTGGTCATGTTTGGCAATAACCCAGCAGCCTTGGAAGGGTAAATGAAGATAGGTATGTTAGCGCAGGGGTAGACACGTGTGGCTCTTGGTTCTTCAGGCACCTGTTTTCTTTCTGCACCTTATCTCAGCTTGCCTGGTTTTGAAGACTTGAAGATTCATTGCAAGTTACAGGCTAAAATGAGAGCTTGTGACACGCCTTCTAAAAAGAATTACATCTGTTAAGTAGTAGCACGCTCTAAAACTGTCTGCCACTAGTAGTGACTGTGAGACAACAACTTGATCTGCCTGTCCAGCTCAGATCCTGACATCTCATCTACCTGTTAACTATGGGCTAAGGCGAGCAGCCTGCTGCTTTTGTCTAAAATGTCGTTGTTTCTGTAGGTACAAAGTGTTACTAAATGCACTGGTTGCTGCATCTTGGGGTAGGGGGAGCAAATGGAGAGCAGATAGGCAGGAGGAGCATGGGTGAGGTAGGGCAAGTCTGCCCTGGGGATCACCAGCTGGGAGCAATGTGGGTGTTGAGTGTTGCTGTTACTGCAGTGTGTGGGCCAGGAAAGTGACTGAATCCACCTTTGTGAATGAAGGTTGCAGTCCAAACTGTTGGATGCTTAATAGAGCTTAAATTGGCTAAGAAATTCCCTGACATGTTACTGTGTTGTCAGTGGTTGCTTTCTATGATCGGTTTAGTGGCTATAGTTTTGTACTTACAAATTCATGATTGGTATGTTTTAATTTTGACCACTTTAAGTTAAAAGGCTTAGTTAACGAGGAATAAGTGTTTCTGCTTTACTTGTTTAGGTTCCAGAACAAGGTAGCATGTTTTTCCGATCTTGTGTTGGAGGTGGACTGCCAGAAAGCATTGGCATGAATGAGATCTTAGTGAGAGTGGGAATCATTGGTGTTAAAATTAAACAGGTGGTAATCATCCTGATAATAAGGCTTTCCTCCTTAGTAACTGTTAGCCTGCAGTTAAAGTTTTATCAAGATATATTCCAGTATGTTTCTTAAAATACTGGGGTTGCAAGGGCAGCCTTCATGACAGCATGTGACATGTCCCCGTTAAACTTGTTTGCTCTTAGGAGTGGATGTGTATCATCTTTTTTGTTAACTGTTTTAAAAAAATGTGTTATTTTTCTGTGTGTATTTGAAGGGTGCAAACAGCTATGGACAGCTTGGTCTTGGTCATAAAGAGGATGTGCTGGTACCTCAGTCACTGAAAGATGTTTCCTGCAAATGTCAAGACATTAAAAGCATTACTGGAGGAGGGGGACATTCTGCAGTTATCACTGGTAAAAACGTTGCACTTGCAAGGAGTGTATGACTTCTAAACATTTTTTTGTTGTTGTTTTCCCTGTTGATTTGGTGCTGCCACCTATCTGCAGCTTCTGTTTCTGAGCAAGTACAATTCTTAGTTGCAAAACAGGTTCCTTCTGTGCCAATTAACTCAGTTTTTTGGGGAAATTGGGGAAATTCCTGTTTTGCTTATCTTGTGTGGTTACTTTATGGCTATGTGAGGACTGTTTCTTAACTTGTTTCATATAACAGCTTTTCATACAAAGCAGCCAATTTTTCTTTATTGAGGATGGGAGTGGGTGGGAGGGAGGAGTCAAGCTGGAGGTTATTCAATCTTGAGAAGTTTTAAGGTAAGGAGCAGAAGATAGCATCTGGTCTTTGAAAGGTTCTGCTGTGTGCCACGGATAATTATGGGAAAGAAGGAATACAGACAGATGTGAATGTGATAAAAAAACTTCATCTGCATCTTAGTGAGAGGTGCCTGTCTTACTGTATGGATTGTCTCCCTTGACAAATGCAACTCTCCATAACTGTACTTATTCAGAGATGTTTCTGATGCATCAGAAATAACTGTTTATCTTTCTTTTTAGCTTGATTGCAGTGCCTAAAATGACACAAAATCACTGTCCTTATTTGTCACAGGATCTCAGGGATGTATACTTGTCTTTTTAGTTGGTGAAATGGAACATGATTTTTTTGTTTTGTTTTTCCTTCCAGGTGCAGGAGAACTCTTTGTATGTGGCCACAACAAAGATGGGCAGTTGGGATTGAATCATACAGAGGATGTACTGCGTTTTACTTTGTGCACTGTCCTGTCTGGCTTTTGTGTAAAACAAGTTGCCTGTGGCTGGGATTTTACAATCATATTAGTAGGTAAATGTATCTCTCTTAAGAGCTGAAGAAATATCCTGATGTAGAGAACACGGTGAAAGTTCCACATTGCTGTTGCTTGTGTGATGCACCAGCACTCACAGGTTTTAAGCTACTTGCCTTGCAAACTAAATTGCTCCATGTTCCTTGTATCCCAGTGAACTTCAGACCTTCACTGAACATGGTGTGTAAGACCAGAAGCCTATGGCCTCAGGGGCTTTGGAATGGGATGTGTTAGGTCCTTTTTTGAGCTACTTGTCTGTGATATTTTGCTTGTTAGAATGTTACAGTGCTTTGCTTTTGCTCATGGATTTACTGATTGGGCTCTAACACTTTATTTTGCAGGATCTGGCCTAGTTCTATCCTGTGGGTCTAACTCTTTTGGACAATTAGGAGTTCCTCAAGTTTCAGGTCCGTGCTTGATTCCACAAAAGATTGAGGTAAAGATTTAAAAGGAATTGTGCTTTAGAGCTCTGTACTTTATATTGCTTCCAACAACTTACAAAGGTTGTTTGACTTCAGTGGGCTTTAAGCCAGACTCATCTATAGACCCTGTTACAGTAAACAAAGTAAAGGACCAAAGATGGTCATTGACCCAGAGATGAGAAGCTAAGGCTGCTTTTCGTGTATGAAGAAGGTGCCCGCTTCTAACAGAAAGTCATCTATTTCACTAGGTATTATAACATATTGTATTTTAAATAGTGTTACATCTGTAAGAAGAATAATAAATTTGCTGAGTACTCAGAAGTGGAGAAGTGCCAGAATTGAAGTACCTTGTGCAAACTTGTCTTGGTTTAACCCCAGCCAGCAACTAAGCACCACCCAGCCGCTCGCTCCCCCCCCGCCCCGCAATGGGATGGGGGAGAAAATCGGTGAAAGAAGTAAAACTCGTGGGTTGGGATAAGAATGGTTTAATAGAACAGAAAAGAAGAAACTAATAATGATAACACTAATAAAATGACAACAGTAATAATAAAAGGATTGGAATGTACAAATGATGCGCAGTGCAATTGCTCACCCCCCGCCGATCGATACCCAGTTAGTCCCTGAGCTGCGATCCCCCACCCTCACTCCCCCCAGTTTATAATACTGGATGTGATGTCATATGGTATGGAATACCCTGTTGGCCAGTTTGGGTCAGGTGCCCTGGCTGTGTCCTGTGCCAACTTCTTGTGCCCCTCCAGCTTTCTTGCTGGCTGGGCTTGAGAAGCTGAAAAATCCTTGACTTTAGTCTAAACACTACTGAGCAACAACTGCAAACATCAGTGTTATCAACATTCTTCTCATACTGAACTCAAACCATAGCACTGTACCAGCTACTAGGAAGACAATTAACTCTATCCCAGCTGAAACCAGGACAAAACTTAACTCACTAATTTTATGCATGCATGACTTGGTGATATAGTTGTCTTTGGATGATCATATTGGGCAACCTTCAGTGGTATAGGTGGTACTATCAGCAGTATTGTTTGTGACTGCAGAACTTGGTAAGACTGAACAGCTTGATGGAAATTGTTACTGCTTGTTGCTGGTATTTGCTGTGGAGGTTTTGGTGTAATTCTTGAGGAACACTGAGTTAAAATTAAGAAATAAACATATTTGTATCACCAAGGTTCCTTCTTTCATGTGAGGATTTTGACTGTGGCTTTTTATTTATTGCCACAAAGCTGTACATCCAGTTGCTTTGCTTGATTTTTTTTTTAAGGTGTTTCCACTAATTTTTGTTGGCCAAAATTTACTTCCTTTATGATACAAAATGTTGGTATGCATTGTGACATGCAGGCTGGAATTGTGAGAACTATTTTCATAGTGTTCTACATCTGTCTGTTTGGTGTATTTTGCTTTCAGAGGCACTAAATGCAAAAAGCAACTAAAATATATTTTTCTTTTATTTGAGTAGTCTCTCAAAGAGAAGGTGGTCGATGTTGCTGCAGGACTGAGACATGCCCTTGCTGCTACAGGTAAATATGTCATAATTTTAATATCATTTCAGTAACAAATGAAATGGAGTTTTAATAGCTTGGAGGGGGAGAGAGAGGGAAAGAAGATGAAATTTATTTTAGGTTCTGTTTATTTTAAATATCACAGGGAAAATACTCCTGTAAGTCTTATACTAAGATTTTGGTAAAAATTAACATGAATAATAAATATGCTAGAAACATCTTGCTGGAAACTGGTGGTGAAGAACTGTTCTCCAAGAACTCTGAGTTTATTAACAAGTTAATTTTCTGATGGGTGGAAAACTTACTGATTTCTCCTATTCTGAAACAAAACATAAAAGTAGCCTTTTTGTGGAAAAAATATTCCTGGTCAATCATAATATCTTCTTAGGATTTTGAATTTGTTATAATATGCAAAGTAACAGATTTAGGTTTGTATAAGATGTTTCAAAATGGAACTGCACATGACATGTGGCTTTTTTAATGATGTAATTGAAATTGACACCTGGAAAAATCACAAGAATGAAACGTTTCTTTTATTGAGGGAGGAGGGAAAGGATATAATTGGAGTTGATTTCACTCACACACCTTCAAAAACCTGGTCCTCTGACTCTTTTCTCCCACTGTCTGCTGTGCGTATACTTGGGAGGGTCATAACGTCTAAATATTTCTCCTGCTGCTCTTAGAGACTTTGAGTTTGTTCATGGACTAACTGTAAACCTTCCAAGTGGCATGGTTGTATTAAAATTGAGGAACAACAAACTAGATGTGCTCTTTTATTTGGTTTAGTTTTGCATGAACTTTAGTATGGATTCCAGGTAGTGGAGTCTAGCTGAAGATGCAAAGGAGATGCTTGGAAGAAGAGTGGGATCTCTGGTGCTTGTAAGAATACTGGGAATTAAACTTCCCTGAGCTCTGCATTCGGTGAACATCTTGTTTCAGAGCTAGGTCAAGTCTTTGAAAGGTCCTGAGGAGAAGACAAATGACTTCACTCCCTCAGTGTGCGCTGGACTGCACAAACAAATTAGCATGAAGAGAAGGAAAGGGCAGAGAAAGTGCAATGAACTTATAGTAATAAGTAAATTGTATCCCTTCTGGAGGTGCTACAGCTATGGGACTTCTGTTACTAAGTCCTCAATAATGTCCTAATATAGGCCTCAGAGCTGATACAGGTTGCTTAGTATCTTCTTAGTTTTCTTATCTGTATAATTAGACTACAACTGTTTGTTGCTTGATGACTTCACCAGGATTATCCATATGTTTCTGGCATAAAGATCTTTTAAAGTGTAATGTGAATCAGTGAAAATGAAGTGAATGTACCTTTAAAACTAATTAATGAGTTAAGTGATTTTGTTGTTGGTTGATGTATGTTAATCTCTTCTATTTGTGTTTACTCTGGAAAGAGAGTGGTTTGGTGCTTCAGTGGGGAACTGGCATGGCGTCTTGGGCAAAGCGTGCAAACCAAGGAAAAACCCTTCCCCTGTTCCTGACAGCAAAAGAACCCTGTGAAGTAACAGGTAATCCAGGAATCTGATTCCGTTGTAAAGGTGGATAGAGCAGAAATATAATTTGGAGTGATATGTAGCATCCTTTTATTATAAAGCCACTTGGTATTATAAACATGTAGTGCAGTATCTGAAGGATAGAATGAGCGTACAAGGTCATAATCTATGGGAGAAGAAGATAGTCTTGCAACGTCTATGGCCCAAAAGCAGAGGGTTTTACAAAATTTATCATCATCCTGTTATGCTTGTATGCATATTTATGCATGAAATTATACAAATTTTATGAGACTAATTTTTCTCTAGGCCTGGAAGATGTAAAGGTGAAGACAGTTGCTGCAAGCTCCTATCATTCAGTGTCACTCACAGGTAGGCCTTAGGTACAAAAGTGAAATTCCTTGTCTCAGCCTATAAAGGTTTTTGTGCTTTGGAGACATTTGTCAATCGTGGTTAGACTGGTAAAATTTGATCTGGCCTAGTTAGTGCTGGTTAATTGTTTTGTAATAGTTTTAGATTCTGAGAACTTTCTAAGAGCTGCATTCAGGTTTTGAATTTTCTGAATTAAGTGTGTTTTTTCTTGGGGTCAGGTGTGACAGCCATTATGAGTAAGTAAGGGTCTGGGCTTTTTAATGGTTAGACACTCTGAAAGGATTTGTGGAAGCACATGGTTGGGTAAGTCTCTGGACCTGCAGGATGATGCCCCATTGGGTAACTCTGGATGGTTGGGTGCTGGAACCAGTGGCTATCCTGCTTCTGCTATGTGAGCTAATGCCTCTGCATGGGACTGTGCTGTGCAGGGATGTGCAATGGTCTGGAGTATCTTAGGTGGCTCTAATATAACAGTGTGCAGATCTGTGTGAGGTAACATAAGAGCACAAGGCTTATTTAAAGCAGTAGGAAGTTGCTTTAATCACTTAGGCACTTCCATAATGTCTGCCATTTGTTCTTTGATCTTCAGGCAGTGCTCCCATGCTGGAGTATTAAGTATCCAGTAATGAAAGTCTAATAAAGTTGGGGTTTTTTTTGTTTTTTTTTCTTGGCAGACTGAGAGAAGGGGAAACAGAATAGCTCTTCATGCTGTAATCTTACAGTTTTGAACTGTGGAAAACATATTGAACCTTACGATGACAAGTCTTTGCCAAACTTTGTAGGAACAAGTTCTTAGCAAATATGCAGCCATCTGGTACCTCTGTCATCATTAAGGGAGCACTGGAGTATTTGCTTATGCAGATCTATAGAGATTTAGTTGTACGGGGGGGATGGTCCAAGATGTAAATTATATTGAATTCTGAGATGCAAAGTGTATATGCGATTAGTGAAGAAGAACTGTAAGGACAAATAGAACCTACTTTAGCTAATTAGCACTCTGTATTTAGGGTGTGAACAGATTATTCTTTCATGCTTTTGCTTTTTATTTAAGAGAGCAGTCTACTTGGCAGCAGGGGGACCAAGAGTAACAAAATAAGTGCCAAAGTAATAAAGTGATGCTATTGCTGTCCTTCATCCTGCAAGATACTCGTTATTGCTTAAAATATACTTTTTATTTTAAAGATACTTGATATAGTAAAGATACTCTTGCAGGGTGTAGTATTTAAATGGAGATTTTCTTCTAGGAATCTGTCACACTGTGATGCAATTTTCTTTGGCTCTCTTGCATGAGCCACCTGCTGGTAGGATACCAAACACCTGCAATCAGGCAGGTTTTTGACACAGCCGTTGAAGTGGGTTGTTGAAAACATGAATGGCAGTTCCTTTAAAAAAAGGATGGTAGTCTACCTGTATCCAAACTGGCCTGAACCCTCCAATGATGAAAGTATGGTGCTAAGTCTTAGTATTTAAGTTTTTGTTAAAGCCTACTCAAGAAATGAGATGAGGGTTGAGCATATGACATTTCCCAGGATAAAGCAAATGCACCTCCTGGAGAAGAAAAGGAGGTGACAGAGGCAGTGCATTTAGTTGTGGAAACATGAATGACCATAATGTTTTTCTTTGTTGAAACAAGCTGTTTCCGTGACCGTTTTTTTCTCTCCAGAAGCTGTATGTACTTCACTCTGGGAAAGAATTTATCAATTTTAGTGGAGAATTCCAATAAAACAATTGCTTGATTTGTTTCTCCTTTTCATTTCAGTTGTGTTGTTTTAATGAGGAACATGGGAAGTCCTGCAGATGACTGTCAGTAATGTGTAACTTAACAAGTACTGGCTTCCCTCAGCCCTTTGCTCTTGTTTTTCAACAGCAGTAGTATAGTGGAATTCTCCCGGCTCATTCCTTCTGTTACTGTTACCAAACTGTGATCACTAAATATCTTGTAGCCTAAGTCCTACTTTATCTTTTATTCCCTCTGAAAGGTTTACTCCTGTCATGCTGCTTTTAAAGAGTTTGGTGCTGACCTGAGACTTCAGAAGCCTTGAGTGTTGTGGACGTGTGCTCTGACAATTCCATGTTGGAAATGATATGGCTTCCAGTCTTTCTGGGCCCATGATCATGTACTTCATGTGCGCAAGATTTATTTCTTATACTTGCAGCTTGTACAGGGTGGCAAAGGACTTAGGGAGGCCTGATGCAGCTCATGTTCTGTTAAGTGTTTCTTGTGTTTTTTTTGTTTTTTTGTTTTTTTTTTTACATGGAGGCCTAGCACCTGGGCGGAATGATTTTGTGCTGAAAAGATGAAACAAATGATATGTAATATCTGCAGAAGGACTCATCTCCACAGTCATCTTGTTACTGTCAATTGGTCGTTAGGCTGTGAGCAACTCCAGCTTGCACCACTGAAACATATGAAGCAATGTGGATGTTTCTGTAAAGATAATTATCCCTGTGGGTGTAATCCTTGAGTGTGCACTTGCACAAATATCTATTCTGGAGAAGGGGTGGGGAAGACCAGTGATAATTTACAGAGGACTCTCACTAGTTGTCTAGCATTGTTTTGAGGCATGATTTTAATTTTGCCTTGTGGTGGGTGGTACCTGCTTTAGCTGTATGTTCACAGCTATGTATCCAATTACTTTAGGAAATGACTGTGCAAGGTGAGGCAAGGAGCCTTAGACTGTCTCTGCTTTGGGGGATTTACTGAATTTGCTCAAGCTGAAGAAGGCAGGAGCAGAGCTAGGAGTCTGTAGCTCTCGTAGAGAGGGTGGGAGACTGTAATGCAGAGCAGGGGCAGCCAGCCAGGCTTTGAAGAGTCCCAGGTACTGGAGAGGAGTTAAATTATTTGCTGCAAATCAGAAAGTTATTTACTGGACTAAATCAAAGCTTTGGGGTGGAGGTAAAAGCTCGCCTGTAAGAACAGAGTGGACTGAGTGGGACTGCTCAGTGAGTGTCCCCAAGATGCTTTGATTTTTTTTTTTCTTGGAGAAGTTGACTACTGTGGTTAGTTTTCTAATAAAAATAAGCCTTTGCTATAAACATCTTTGTCATCTTTGAGAAGCTCACAGTAGAAATAAGGTCTAGGCAGTTTGACCTTAAAGCTCTGGTTGTTTCAGGGAGTCATAGAATCATTTAGGTTGGAAAAGACCTTCAGGATCATTGAGTTTAACCACTAACCATGCCCACTAAACCAGGTCCTGAAGTGCCTTGTCTACGCGCTTTTTGAATACCTCCAGGGATGGTGACTCAACCACTTCCCTGGGCAGCCCATTCCAATGTTTGACAACTCTCTCAGTAAAGAAATTTTTCCTAATATCCAACCTAAATCTCCCTTACCTCAACTTGAGGCCATTTCCTCTTGTCCTATCTCCAGCCACCTGACAGAAGAAATCAACACCCACCTCACTACAACCCCCTTTCAGGTAGTTGTAGAGATCAATAAGGTCTCCCCTCAGCCTCCTTTTCTCCAGACTAAACAACCCCAGTTCCCTCAGCAGCTCCTCATAAGACTTGTGCTCCAGGCCCCTCACCAACTTGGTTGCCATAAGTCATGTAGCCCTCAAAAACCAGGCTGTGTTGTTAAGGCCCTTGCAAATATTTGTGATATCCTAGTTACACTGTGCGCACATGTGGTAAAGAATGGCAGGAAAAAGCATACAGTGAACACACGAATGAAATGTTGTTCTTTCCTCAGCATCACTGAGTTGAGACAGAGCTTGTATCTGGTGGTGTTCTATGTATATGACTTTTCAACAAATGTTACTTCTCTGTCTATTGTAGATGAAGGACACCTGTATGTCTGGGGTAGCAACAAACATGGGCAGCTAGTGAGCAAAGAGATCTTTCTCGCGGAGCCCGAGAAGATTGAGACTGAGTTTTTCTCACATGAAAAGATTGGAGCAGTTTGGAGTGGCTGGACCCACTTGGTGGCACGAACAGGTAGGATGTCTAAAAAAACAGTAACTTATGACACCAAAACAGTAAATTGTCTTTATTGCATGCAAACAGTGTTCTTTCTCACTGATACTGGTTGGATGCAGAGTTTTGCAGTTTCACCTGAGCAGCAGTTGTCTCCTGAAAATGATGAGGACAGACATCCTTTGGCTTCTGTCCCTGAAGTAGTATTGTGCTTATAGGTCGGAGGGCCTAGCATTTTCATAAATGCAGTAGCATTTGCATGTACGCACTGGAGGGATGCAGCCTCTCTGCATCATCAGGTTGCTGGTATACCAGAATACATATGAGCTTCTAAAGATCATTCTAGTGGGTGAGTTATGACATCTTCTTTGGAGAGAAAAGAAGGCGGAAAACTTACTTCAGAAAATAGAGATGCAGGAAAATATGGCTGCAGCTTCCAAGATATATGACTATATTTGGCAGGAAGATATGGGCAAAACTCTCATTCAGGGCACAGGAATTGGGAGAGGGGAAGATAATCCTAGCAAGTGTCTGTCTGAAAGGCATGGGGGATAGATATGTACCATTCCCAGGTTACCTGAGTGTTAGCTGAGGATCTTAAGAACAGGCATAGCCAAGAAACCTCTGGTTCTGCCATCCCATCTGAGAAGACGTGGTCTCATTGCAGTAAGTGAAATAAATTACATGGCTTTGCTCAACTGTTCTAACCTTCCTGTACTTTGAGGGAGCCTAGCTTTTTGTGCTGCTCTTCTTTAGTAAAGTGTTTTAAGGACAAATAAAATCATGTGTTCAGAAGAAAGTCAATAAATTAAAATAAGCTGGCTTGTATGTGTGTGTGTTTGTGGTCAAACCCAGAAAATGTTTAGAAAAGACAGGTAAAAAGAGGCATCATTAAATTTGAAGAGCATCCCCTGAAGATGAAATGGAAGAAGATTTAGTGTTGAAGCTGTACCTTCCTGGGAACCTTTCCAGTGAGGACAGTGTGAAAGCTTGCCACATGCAGAGGGCTGTAAGGTTAGATTCTTTCCTAGGAAGAGATAAGAGGAAGGTTATGCAGTAATGACATTCATGCGTTAAAGGATGGTTGATCTGATGAAGGTCATCTGAATGCACTTGTATTGTTGCTCTGTTGTGAAACACAAAAGCAGGAGAGGAAGGTAGACGAGATAGAAGGGTAAGACAGACATCTGAAACTGTTTTGTGGTGTTCACGTGTGAACAGTCTGTGCTATTTGCTTCTGTTGCACAGTGTGGAGTGATAGTTAAGACTTTAAGACTAACGGGAGGATGAAAGTCTTCCAAAGAACAAACAGAACAGCCAGAGTTATATTGGCAGGGGTAGCATACAAGCATTTCTGCTTTTGCCTTGTATAAACTGCCTGGTGAGGAAATGAAGAGCAGGTGAAAGCGTTTTTCCGAGAGTCACATTGGGGATGGAAGAGCCTATTGGTCTGTCAGGATACAACCTGTTTGTTAGGAAAACTGCAGAAGGGACCAGAGATCTGTTACTGGTATTTACTGGGTTCTGTAATTATGGGGACTGGTTCAAGGAGTGCTTGGCCTTCCGCATGGGTAGTTTTATTTAAATGGAGTTCTTAGATGCCCAAAGGTCAGCATGTGCTGAAATGTTCTATTAAATTGGTGCTGTAAATCCTGAAATGGTTATGCAGTCATGTCCCTTGCTCTGTGAGAAAAGTGTCTGTTTTAATTACCGCATATTGTGAACTCTTGGTGCTAGAATTTGGAGGGATGCGATGCATGACTAGAAAAACAAGTTGGTTAAGTGTTTTGTTTCATAGCATTCATTGTTTGACATCAAAGTACATGAGAGAAATGTCATGTAGAAAAACTGCATTACTATAGCTGCACTCTTAGCTATTTAAAATAAATGTTTGAACTCTGATTTTTAGAGGATGCTATATTGAAATTTTCAGAGCTGTAATCAATGCTACGTGCTGCTTGGAAACTTTTCAGGTGGAGTAAAGGAATTTATCTCAAAATGTGTAATTATTGAATGAAGTGCTTAGTGTCATTTTCACTGGAACAGAAATGGTTGAAAAAAAGACGTTAGTCAGGATAACCTAATTTTTAAAAAGAGAGTCTTGGCAACATGGTTTGCCTTGCTTCACTATTTCTTAGTAATGTATACCCACTAAGTAAAACTTCTCCAAAGTTTTAGTAACTTTAAAGTTTCACTTAATTGATACTTATCCATGGCCATTACAGAAATGAAGTGACTGTTTTAGTAGGTGATTTTTAAGAAGAAGAAAAAAAAGTGTGTCGAGTGACTAGCAGAGATTTTTTTTTTTTCGTGAGTGTTTGAAAGTAATTTAAATAGGCTGACTTTACATCTGCATTAGAAAACTGGCCAAGCGATGCAGTAGCATAAAATATTGCTGAAACTGAATTTTATGTATTTAGATTTTAAATCTCTTTGAAAGTCAATGGACCTGAACCTAAGTCATCCAGAATAAGATTTTGAATGGCCTTGGCAGCCTTTAGATGCCAATCAGAATCTCATGGGATTTTCAAGGGTTGCTCAACTACTAGACATAGTGTTAGATAAGCACTTAGCTGTTCCTGAAAAATCACTCCCTGCCTGTGATGAAACTTGCAACTAAGTAACTGAAGAATGCAGCCCACTTGAAAACTTTTCCCTGCACGCAGTTCTTCCTCCATTATTTTTACCTCCTTTTGGCAAAGGAGGAAATGCTGCTTCAGTTTCCTGGTGCTGAAGTCACGTAAACCAGCTGTCTCACAAACTTTATTGATTGTGCACCCCATCAGTAAAATTATTTTTTTGAGAACGCACCCCCAATATATTTATACTTATTTATTTATAAATTATAGACATGTACTACTGTAGTGTTACGCAAGCTCTAAAACATGCACAATAGAAACTTTAAAAAGGATGAGGTAAAGATGAAATAAACACTACTTAAAATATTATTTTATTAACTAAATTAAAACCATTATTAATTTATTAATAAATTAAAATGTTAATTAATTTATTTATTATTTTCTTCCTGCCCTCCAGTGGATTGTCTTGTGCATCCCCTGGGCTGCATGCACGCCACTTTGGATACCACCGATATAAACAATTCCTGCTCACTTTACTCTGGAGAGTTCCACAATTAGTGGAAAGGAAGCAAAATAGAGTGATTTTTGGACACAGGAAAATGCAAGGAAGGGATATTGTAGGATGATGCTTCTCTCTGTTCATTGTGGAAGGTAGGAACATACTTTGGAAAGACATTGCAGTGTATAGGGATTTTGCTCCATGAAAGAATGGATAAGTTTTTTCTAATTAATAGTCCAACCATGATGCAAAATTTAATAGTTCAACATTTATGGTACTGTATCTGAAATCATGTTGTGTTTTCCACAGAAGGTAGTGGAATTTTAAGAGGCCGTTACAAATACTTAGAGTTATGTTTGTGGGGTTTTTTGGTTTGTTTTTTTTTTTCCCAGAACATTAATCCTGGTCAGAGTAGTAATAATAAAACATTCATAATTGCAGCTGTCTTGACAGTAAATTAAAACTTTTCTCATTGGATAGACATAGGAAGAAACTGGGTGGATAAAAGCTGGACACTCTGTTCATGCAGAAATTCACAAATTCTGCTGTTTCAAAATGACATTTTGATCTTTATTTGCCAGATGAGCAGTGCTTGACTGCAGAACTAATGGAACACTGAAAAGTAAATGAGACAGCGATGTTGTTAAAAGCAACCATGTGGAGGAATAGTGGGCAGTTTCATGGATGCGGGGGTTTGACACTTTAAAAGTGAGTCCAAGCAAGTTACCAACTTTGTTATCAGAAAAGAAGGAACATGGCAAAAATATTTGCTTCTTCTGTATTAAGCTTTCCCTCTTATATAAACTAGCCTGTTTTAAAAGACTCATTTAGTTTTTCCTTCATGCTGTTGGCAGAATTTTGCATTGTAACCTAAAGCAAAACGCACAACTTTTTTTTCATTTCTTCCCCACTCTGTCCTTAAAAGGGATTTTAATTGCACCTGAAATCACTGTAATACCCACATCTCTTTCATATGTTATATTCTACCTCATTCAGCGACTGTTTTGAAAGTCCAGTTTCCTGTCATTTCTCTTAAGAGTTTGGTCAACTCTCTTTTCATTTGCTGTTTCTGTCATAAAGCAGTTCAGATTCAAGAAGTTAATTCCTGAGAAATTAATTGCTTGACTTAAAGATGTTAAGCAATGTTTTCATAGGATGTTGTGTTTTTCATTCTCATCCTTAAATGATCCTTGTCAGCTCCAATTCTTGATTCTTTTTAATCATAGAGGTTTCTTTTGGACTATTTCCATTGCACACAATCTTTCTGTAAAATTACTCACAAAATCCTTCAAGACAGACAACTCTTTCTTTTTCTGCCTTGGTTACTGATTTCTACAGAGGAGAGAAACACAATTAGGCTTTGTGGCACCACTAGTACTCTTTCAAAATAAGTTATTTTATTCTGCTACTAGTGATGGTTCTAGTCGATGATGGCTGGTCCAAAAAGATTAAGGTTGAGAGACCCTGGTTGCTTTTTGATCAGGTCTCTGATCGTAAGATATAAACTTGTTAGTGTCTTTGGTTTAGTTGTTATTTCTGCATGAATGCTTGTATCGAGTGACTTTCAGGCATGCTTTTCGATTATGACAGGGCAGTACTGTTATTGCTCTATGTGAAAGACAGACCAGATGCATTCTTCTGGCCTTGGACTCCTAGTGCAAGTATTATGCCTGAAGGCAACTGCTCTGTAAAATGGTTTGCTTCCTTTCCAGCATGCTGCTTAATGGCACAAGGAGCACCACTGCAGTATAGGTGGTGATATTTTTTAATAATAATGAGCAGCTGTCTTGCATCACTCTGCTTGACAATGTCAACTTTAATTCATGGTCTTTCTCAAGTTGATACAAACCCTTTGAGGGCAATTGCTGAAAGAGAAGTTATTGCTTGTATCATTTAAAAGAGAGCTAAGTTGTGGCCTATAATGCTGAAGATGAAAATTAGTC